AAAAGAAAAAAAAAGCTTCTGATGATCCTGCGGCTCAGCTGGGCATGGTGGGGGGGGGCGCAGGGATTTTTGCTACCAGGTCTCCGAACCACCCACCGCCATCGCTACCAGATCAGGTGATCCGGTCCGAACCGGGAGCATTTCACCCGGTGAACTAAAGTCATTGGAATAGTATCCTTGCTAGGATTTAGACAATGCTATTTTACTATATGGTTTTATGTACTTATTTAAACTAAAAGTAAAGGATGTTTCATTTTAGATATTTAATTTTAGAAATATCTAGTAATATGTAGCTACATAATATAGCTACTATAATGCATTATTTTTATTTAGAGTAAGTGAATATAATATTATATATTTCTGTTATTATGTGATAGTTTGGCATGTACATCTTTTACACTTTAGGTTTATATCTGTTTATTAGTTAAAGTAAGCAAGAGAGTATTTTATTGTATAATTATATCTGTATTGAAGAGAGTTGGAAATAACTTTTTAATATTATTTTTGTTTTTGTTTTTTTCGGTCACTTTAAATTTTTCCTGTCGTCCCCCTTTCCTAGTTTTCCCTCTTTGGAGTAATTTTTGTATTTTAACTTTCTAGCAGCCAATAAGCTTTGGCTGTTTTGAGGCTTGTATCCCAAAGGAAACATTATTGTACATGCTTCCTTATTATGGTTTATGGAAGAAAAATGGAAACTTGTTTAGCACACATTCCCCATCATGGATTTGGTCTGAAGAAGGAGCACAACATTGAGTAGAAGGACCTAACTTTATTTTCTGATTTAGAAGAAAGAGGGATTTGAAGAAGATTTTTTATAGAAAATCTATAAAAGTCTACAAGGTGGAAAATTTTAGGGAAATTTGGGGAAGTTAGTCCTATCAGTATATCTGGGATAGTTCTGTTGTCGTTAGTTGCGAAGTCGTGTCCGACCCATCGCGACCCCATGGACAACGTTCCTCCAGGCCTTCCTGTCCTCTACCATCTCCCGGAGTCCATTTAAGCTCACGCCAATTGCTTCAGTGACTCCATCCAGCCACCTCGTTCTCTGTCGTTCCATTCTTCTTTTGCCCTCAATCGTTCCCAGCATTAGGCTCTTCTCCAGTGAGTCCTTCCTTCTCATTAAGTGGCCAAAGTATTTGAGTTTCATCTTCAGGATCTGGCCTTCTAAAGAGCAGTCAGGGTTGATCTCCTCTAGGACTGACCTCTAGGTTTCATCGCCTTGCAGTCCAAGGGACTCGCGGGATAGTTCTATTGTTAGGCAAAATGGACTTTTCAGAAGGACAGCAGAACTGGGGAAGTCCATTGTGAAGAAGATGGAACATTGAGGTCATCAGCTGATAGGAGCCTTGGTAGTACAGTGGTTTAATGCACCCTGTAATTAACACAGCTGCCTGCAATTTCTGCAGGTTCGAATCTCACCAGGCTCAAGGTTGACTCAGCCTTCCATCCTTTCTAAGGTAGGTTAAATGAGGACCCAGTTTGTGGGGGCAATAAACTGACTTTGTATAAATATACAAAAGTATGAAGGCTATTGCTTAACGCATTGTAAGCCGCCCTGAGTCTCCGGAGAAGGGCGGCATATAAATCAAAATTAAAAAAAAACAGTTGCAGTTTCTCTAGGTTGCAGTTTCCTTGTAAGGACAACTTTTGGGCTATACTGGTGAGAAGACTTCTATTCTTGATGGGATTGCAGGAGAGGGTTTTGTATAGGACAGGGAACGTCTGTTTATTCTACACTTTAGCACTCAACAGAATGCCTTACTGACTGCTCTTAGTCAGGTGGATTACATAATATCTCCAGGATTTAGTGGCAATATATCACGAAGAACTATCTTCAGGACAGCTTTAACGGGAAAGTGATGTCACCCACACAAAAATCTGTGAGATTTGGAATAGCAATGCCAAGAACTTGAGAGATGCCACAATCTTGTGAGATTTTTTTTTAAAAAAAAAATTCATTTTGGCACCTGCACCAGAAATTATATATATATTACTCTCACGGATTTCAGGTTGGAAAGTATGTGCTAAATTTAAACGGCTTTGAATAAATATTCCTTCCTTCACGTTTTCTTGCATTTCAAACATGGCCTGGATCTGAGAGCCAGGTGGTTTCATTTAAAGATGAGACTGTCCAGACATCATGGTTTACAGGAGAGAGTTCTGCTCCTCAGCCTGACAACCTTAACTTAGTAATATAAAACTTGCCTGTAGGCCAAAGACCCCGGGGTAATTTTCTAAACAGCTGCGTCCCACCAGATTGTTCCCAATCCACAATTCTTTGTTGGAGGTGATTTGGTTTATGGAAACTGTTTTCTACATAGGCTACTTCTGATCTAGCTAAAGATTGAGCTAGATTTCACTCAATGTAAGGTAGCTTCCCATAATTTCCAGATTCCGAAATTTCCTTTCTTCATCAAGAAGTGTCTCTTCTATAATGTTATTCCGTATGTGTGTATGTGTGTGTGTGTGTGTGAGAGAGAGAGAGAGAGAGAGAGAGAGAGAGAGAGAGAGAGAGAGAGGGAGGGAGGGAGGGAGGGAGGGAGGGAGGGAGAGAGGGAGGGAATAAAACCCAACTACATGATTCTAGTTAGCAGTTGGGTAGTTTTCACTGTACTTTCTACTATCATTAAAGATAAGATTAGTGTACAGATTCTCACTAAAGATCTGAGTGCTGTTTTACAGGGCACTAAAGATTCTTTACTGATTAAAGATTTTTAATCACTAAAAGATTTAAAAATTAAAGATTTAAAGATTAAAGGGATGTGGTGGCTCAGTGGCTAAGACGCTGAGCTTGTCGATCGAAAGGTCGGCAGTTCAGCGGTTCGAATCCCTAGTGCCGCGTAACGGGGTGAGCTCCCGTTCCTTGTCCCAGCTTTTGCCAACCTAGCAGTTCGAAAGCACGTAAAAAATGCAAGTAGAAAAATAGGGACCACCTTTGGTGGGAAGGTAACAGTGTTCCGTGCGCCTTTGGCGTTTAGTCATGCTGGCCACATGACCATGGAGACGTCTTCGGACAGCGCTGGCTCATCGGCTTTGAAACGGAGATGAGCACCGCACCCTAGAGTCGGGAACAACTAGCACATATGTGCAAGGGGAACCTTTACCTTTACCTTAAAGATTCTTTAATACGGTTTAACTGTGTATTTTCACAAATATATTTTAATTTTTTATCCTCAAAAAATCTTTGGTTGGCAAGTCAGGTTGTAAATATTCCTAACAATGGCTCTCTTTCCATTCCTATGGAAATAGTGGGTACTCATAGCTGTTGCCTTGAGGATGAAAACCCCCTTTCATACATATGCATAGAAAGACGCACCATCAGGAATGCATATTTAAATATCTGTGACTGCTCTCCTCACCAGAAAAGGCCATGGGGGATTTGCAGGAGATTTTAATCTCCTTGAGTGAATTCCTGAATCTCAAAGAGAACCTAAGAGAAAGTAGATTCCAAACGATTAAACCAGATACTCTCTTTATAGGGGGGAGAGAGACCGATTGGGGACTTAAATGCATTGTTCTAATTCTCATCTGACAAAAGATCAGAGTACAAATAAATAAGTTCTTCCATATGCTAGAACAGGGGTGTCAAACTCGTGGCCCGCAGGCCAGATGCGTCACATGCTGGCCACGCCCACCCCCAGTTGAGCAAAGGGGGGAAAAGTCGTGATATGTCACGTGACGACAACGTGATGCCATGAGTTTGACACCCCTGTGCTAGAAAGAAGGAGAAATTTGGGGGAGTTGAATCTTTTAACAACGCTTCCGAAATCAGATTATGACTGATTTAATCAATTATGACTACAGGCAGTCCTTGACTTACAACAGTTCATTTAGTGACTGATCAAAGTTACGACGTCACTGAAAAAAGTGTGACTTATGACCATTTTTCACACTTATGACCACTGCAGCATCCTCATAGTCACATGACCAAAATTTGATGCTTGGCAACTGGTTCATATTTATGATGGCTGCAAGGTCCCCGAACCATGGGAATACCTTTCGCGACCATCTGACAAGCAAAGTCAATAGGGAAGCCAGATTCACTTAACAACCGGGTAACTAACTTAACAACTGCAATGATTCTCTTAACAACTGTGGCAAGAAAAGTCATAAAATGGGGCAAAACTCAACTTAACAAATGTCTCACTTAGCAACATAAATTTTGGGCTCAATTATAGCTGTAAGTCAAGGACTACCTGTAAGCCCCCACATCTGTACAGTCAAGGGTCCTTAAGCCCATGTGTGCAAGAGTTTCTATAATTCTTAGAGAACTCTCCTTGCATAACTATGGTTCTTGATGGCATGGATCCAAGCTAATGGACACTGGGGCAGTTGAAACTGGAATAACTAACCAACCAAACTTCAATTAACTGTTCCTATCAGGGGTGAAATCCAGCAGGTTCTGACAGGTTCTGGAGAACTGGTAGCAGAAATTTTGAGTAGTTCGGAGAACCGGCAAATACCACCTCTGGCTGGCCCCAGAGTGGGGAGGGAATGGAGATTTTGCAGTATCCTTCCTCTGGAGTGGGGTGGGAATGGAGATTTTGTACTGCCACGCCCACCAAACCATGCTCCCAGAACCGGTAGTAAAAAAAAATTGGATTTCACCACCGGTTCCTATGCATGCTAAGTCAAAGTGGCCTGTATTGTCCCAGCATGCTGCAGTTGTGATTGTTTTGTTTCTTGACAACTGTGCTGTGAATAAAGAGAAAAAAATAATGTGAACTAAAGTATCCCATTATTTCCCCTCTAAGTCACTGCACAGACTCTTCTACATTGCTTTGACTCCTGATTAGGGGACAGGCCTGGAACCCCTGGCTTCTACACAGATGCTGCTAGAAACTGTTTCCTTTCAGAGTTATTCGTGTTGCTCCACTACTAAATCAGGAGCGGATACCGATCACATCCAAGACCAAGTTGTTTGGGGACAAAGGCTGAATAATGGGTCAAGCATTCCATTCACACTTCTTTTTTTTTTTCCCATCTGTGCTGGCAAGCAGAAGCTCTCCCAGATGCCAAATCACCAACTCTTCTGGAAACCGTATTGCTGACTACAAATACTCACTTAAGTTTGCAAGATGTTCCGTCGTTTTATCATGACATCGTTAAGGTTCGTAGATGTTCCAAGTTTCTAGTGGCATGGCCAGCTTCAGAGGCTACTACAGGTAGTTCTCGACTTAGGACCACAGTTGAGCCCAATGTTTCTGTTGCTAAGTGAGACATTTGTTAAGCGAGGTTTGCTCCATTTTACAACTTTCCTTACTACAGTTTTTCAGTGAATCAATGCAGTTGTTAAGTTACTGGCACAATTTGTTAAGTGACTCTGGCTTCCTCCGTGACTTTGCTTGTCAGAAGGCCGCAAAAGGGGAATCACATGACCCTGGGATGCTGCAACCGTTATAAATATGAGTCAGTTGCCAAGCATGTTTAATCATGTGACCATAGGACTACCGCCACAGTCATAACTGAAAAGTGGTGGTGTACTTCAGTGCAGTTGTAACTACACTGATGTTTTTTTTTTAAATTTGATTTATATGCCGCCCTTCTCCGGAGGCTCAGGGCGGCTTACAATGTGCTCAGCAATAGCCTTCATCCTTTTTGTATATTTTATACAAAGTCAGCTTATTGCCCCCACAACTGGGTCCTCAATTTACCTACCTTAGAAAGGATGGAAGGCTGAGTCAACCTTGAGCCTTGGCGAGATTCGAACCTGCAGTAATTGCAGGCAGCTGGTCTTAATAACCAGCTTAATAACAGGGTGCCTTAGACCACTGTACTACGAAGGCTCTTGTTGTAAGTGAAGGACTAACTGTATCGCCAGACAAGTACTGAAGCCCAATGCTCTGTCAGAGGCCAAGTTCCCGAGTCCCTCTTTTCCAAGATACTTTTGCTCAAAGTCTAATGCCCACAAAGACAGGGGTGGGTTCTAAATTTTTTTACTACCGGTTCTGTGGGTGTGGCTTATTTTGTGGGCATGGTGTTTTTTTTAAATTTGATTTATATGCCGCCCTTCTCCAGAGACCTGTGTATATTCTTTCATTCTTTTATATATTTATACAGAGTCAGCTTATTGCCCCCACAACTGGGTCCTCAATTTACCTACCTTAGTTTGATGGTTATGTGACAAACAATTCTTTAGGATTTAGCAGAGGTACTGGTCTACCAGGCTTTTAACTGCTTGCCGTACCGGTCTACCCATTTGTTTTTGGAGCGCACCAGTCTACCACCACACTGCCTTTTACCGCTGATCAGCTGTAGGGCAGCCCTTTGAAGCGCCACGACAAGAGTTTAAACAGTTTTTTTTCTTCTAGCCGATCAGCTGGGACTTGGGAGGCAGCGAATAGATTGGGGGCAGGTAGAGGTGGTATTTACCGGTTCTCCGAACTACTCAAAATTTCCACTACCGGTTCGCAAGAACCAGGGAGAACCGGTACCAACCCACCACTGCACAAAGACTAGGCCCCTGCGTTATACAAATTACAGTAAGAGTGAGAAGAGACAAGAGTTTTTCCTATTTGCCTTGAGTTTTCTCTCTAGGATTAGACTCAATTGGATAGGCAGTTGGGAGAGGGAGGATGAAATGAGGCTACTACCCTGTTTCCCTGAAAATAAGACCTATCCTGAAAATAAGAACTGGCATATTTTTTACGTGTATGCCTAATATAAGCCCTACCCCAAAAACTTAAGAGCCTGCACAGCCAGCTGGCCGCCCATTCTGTCTGGTTGCTTGTGGTGCTGTGGCCACGAGGCGAGGCGGGATGGCAGTGGAGCTGCCCCATGCACCTCGCTCTGGCTTACCTCAGGGCCCCCACAGCCAAGCAATCCACGCCCCGACACCTGCCTCACGGCAGCAGCACCAACAGCATATGCAGCAGGAGCCCACCTGGCCGCCAGCCCACTTCTTCTATTTGCTCATGACCACAATGGAGGAGGAGGCTGAATGGAGTGCGGTGCCATGGCCACAAAGCAAGGCAAATGTCAGGGCATGGATGGCCTGGCTGTGGGGGCCCTGAGGTAAGTCAGTGCAGGGCGCATGGGGCAGCTCCACCCCACTCCCCCCCCCCCAGCCTCATGACAGTGGTGCTGGCATGCTGCCTCACCTCCTGCCTGGCCGAAAGCAAGCAGAAGAGGTGGGTCTCCCATACATGGGGGAGGGAAATAAGACACCCCTGAAAATAAGCCCTAGTGCTTATTTTGTGATACAAAAGAAAATAAGACGCGGTCTTATTTTTGGGGAAACACGGTAATAAGCAAAGTTCTTACAAAGTCCCCCAGATTCATCACTTACTGCAACTCCAGGTAACTTTTAAACAATTCTGACATAGGAAAGAATACAACAGTTAATGTCTCAATTCTCCCCAGACTAACAACTTTGCAAAGCTAATCCTCTGTGATTACAACTTGGATAAGCTAGCATGTATTGCTAGCTCAGTTATGTCCGCGATACACGTTCTGTGGATTTGCTGCAACGAAATTAAAATGGGCAACACAACATTGTTATGCAACTTTGCTTTTCTTCATCCCAGCTCCCTCGAGTAAAAAGAATTAACGTGCTTGACCACAAGAGCTGAATCAGCATTTGAATCTTTTTAGTTTTTAGTTTTCCCTGATGCTATAAATAAGGGGTTCTGGAAGGAGAGCACAGCAAATGTTCCACACTGTGCAACCAACAGGAAAATGTTTCTTTAATACTGTTAAAACAGAATTTGCCTGACACTGTCAAAATTTATAGGCATCAACTCCCTTGCCCGATTAGATTATTTTGGAACACGCTGAAAGGAAAGCAAATTGATTTTAAAAAAAGAAAGAAAGAAAGAGGCTTTGCACTAGGAAAACAACATGCAGCTTTCCTGGTTTCCAGTAAATTAATCTGACTTATCGGTTCACTGCTGCAGGCCACGTGGCTCTTTTGGAAACACTGAGCTCTTTGAATACAGGTAGTCCTCGAGTTACAACAGTTCATTTAGTGACTTAGTTCAAAGTTACAATGGCCCTGAAAAATGTGACTTATGACCATTTTTCATAGTTACGACCTTTGCAGCATCTCTACGATCATGTGATCGAAATTCAGACGCTTGGCAACTGGCTCATATTTATGACGGTTGCAGTGTCCCAGGGTCATGTGATTCCCCCTTTGCGACCTTCTGACAAGCACAGTCAATGGGGAAGCCAGATTCACTTAACAACCAGGTTGCTAATTTATCAACTGCAGTGATTCACTTAACAACCATGGCAAGGAAGGTCGTAAAATGGAGCAAAACTCACTGAACAAATTTCTCATTTAACAACAGATGTTTTGGGTTCGATTGTGGCCATAAGCTGAGGACGACCTGTGGTATCATCACAGGCATTCCAATGGCACCTTTTGCTATTGGACCTGCAAAGGTACACATAGCCCTTGACCTACAACTGTTCATTTAGTGACCGTTTGAAATTACAACAACACTGAAAAAAGTGACTTATGACTGATTTTCACAATCACGACCATTGCATCATCCCCGTGGTCACGTGATGAGTTGGACACCTGGCAACTGACTTATACTTAGGATGGTTGCAGTGTCCCAGGATCATGTGATCACTTTTTGCAACCTTCTGACAAGCAAAGTCCACGAGGAAACCAGATTCACTTAACAACCGGGTTACTGACCTAACAATTGCATGGATTCACTTAACAACTGTGGCAAGAAAGGTCGTGAAACAGAGAAAAACTCACTTAACAACTGTCTAATAACTGTATAATATATGTGGGCATATGCATAATTTTGTATTAAATAAATACAAAATTATGCATATGACCACATATATTATACAGTTATTAGACAGTTGTTAAGTGAGTTTATTTATTTAGTCATGTTTATGTAGTGTATATTAGAGGTGGAGACCCTTTGAGAGCTGTAGGCAACGAAATTTCATTTTAGTGTATGCCGATGAGCGTACATTCAAAGTGACAATAAAGTTATTCTAACCTTCTAACCATCTTGCTTAGCCATGGAAATTTGGGGCTTAATTGTGGTTGTAAGTTGAGGACTACCTGTACACTCTTTCAAAATAAAATCATGCTACCTTTAGGCCAAGCAATATTCCTCTAGGGACAGATTAGATTTCAGGCTGCTAGTTGCTGACTTGTGGAATTCTCCTTAAAGGAGAGAGGTTTTGCATTAGCAGAAAGCAATTCAGCTTCTACCAGTATCTGATTTTTCACCCATCTCCTCTGCTGGCTGCACGTTCCGGAGTATTCTAGCTTCGAAGGAAATTGGGTCTCCTGCTTTTGGAAATAGGGACTTGTGTTTTGCCTTATGCAGGTAGGAGTGCAAAGTTATTTTTAAATGTGAAAATCACATTTAATCTGAAATGATACATACAGTAATAGGGAAACCAGAGCATCTAATGGAACTAAACTTTTCTGGTTGAAAAACACACAATAACATCCTTTGCACTTTTTATAGGAATAAAAGCATCAGCACAGAAATGGGAAGAATGCCACAAAATTACTGTCATTTCTATCTGGATGTTTTGATGTACATATCAGCATCCTATAACACAGGCATAAAGCAATTGAAGCTTTCAATTGCCATTGATAGAAAAAGCTAATGTGTCATCTTAAAAAAAACAAAGCCAGTCATGATGGAAGGAGTGGGAAGGAACAGTTGCCCTTGTGTACATGTCAATCAAAAACAGCAGAAAGTAGCCTGCAAAAATAATTGTGAGTAACCTGGATCTTTGCTTATTAAAGGATGTTTTTAAAAATGAAAATATGTGGATTCTATTATCCATAAGAACTAATGACATCTTAAAATACTTCATGATTTCTATGCTATTTTTTAACAGCAATATTTTTTTATCAATGTTATAAGATTGGAAGTACTATCAGTTTCTTTTGCATCCAAAAGTTAAACACCTTACATAGTTGAGTGGCAAACAAAATATAAAGCTGGATGAGATGCTTGGCTCTGTGTATACATACATATTTACTCATGTATGTAAATATGTATTTATGCACACATACATATGAATGTAATAAGTATGTCTATGCATACATACACATGTGTACATTATATATATTCTTCTTGCTTAATGTTGTTGAGTAAATTTTAAATAAATCACAATAATATATCTAAGAGAATTTGCATAATTAATTTCTACAAGAAAGCACAATCAAATCCTGACTTAGGAGAGAGGTTGAATGTCAAAAATTGTTTATGTTTAATTTTTGAGAAGAAAATATTGTTTTCTTAAAGAAAGATTAAATAACAAGGAAGGAGATCATCTTATGTATAGGGCTATGAATACCCAATGATTGCCTAAATTAGACATTTGATAAGCAACTGTACCATTTCAAATAAATTGTTGCCCAGTCTCTTTTTGAAAGCCTCCAGTGACAGAGCACCCATAACTTTTGAAGGCAAGCTATTCCATTGGTTGATTGCTCTTGCCATTAGGAAATTTCTCCTTAGTTCTAGGTTGCTTCTCTCCTTGGTTAATTTCCATCTCTGTAGGAGCCCTCTAATATTGGAACAATACTATTATGCCACCCCTAGTCCTTTTTTTCAGTAGGCTAGACATACCCAATATTGGATTAGATACAGATAAACAGGAAATCTATCGTAATAGAAGGTTCTACTCCCCCCCAAAAAAATCCCCATTTGTGAAATAAATGCAAGAAAACTGATCCAATTAAATATCCATGTGTACCTCTATTCTTTTATAGACACAACACACACACATACACAAACAAATGAAACTAGTCTATGGTACAGTCAAACAAATGTAAATTCAATAATATTCCCTTTTATGAAATGATTTAAAATTCATTCTTGAGATATATTTCCAAGAGCTCTCCCCCAACCACACCCACACACACAGGGGCTCCAAAGGAACAGCAATGTTTATTCCAGCCTTCTTCAATACAGGGGTTTCCAGATGCAGCATGACAGCTTCATCGTGTCCAGGAATCATACATCTGTTGGCTAGGAAGCACATCTGGAAGGCTGGGTTGGAAAAGTTCATCTAAAGCATTAACCGATAGACTAAGCTCAGTTTCAGAAATCTAAAACCTAGTACTTGAACCAAGGGATTTTGTCATCAAAGTTTCATTACAATGGAACAAACTGCCCACCAGGATTGAGGCAAACTTTCTTCCTCTTACAGTGTAGGAGGGGAATTCTACTTTTTTTTTTTAATTTACCCAAGCTTTTAATAATCTAATGTTTTAATATCTGCAATTTTTACTTTTTACTATTTGTGCTGCATTTTCTTCTTTCCAGAGAGAAGGAAGTGGGCAGTTGAAGATGAATTGTTTAATAAAATAAATAAATAACTGTCGTGGCAAACCAAATGATCTAGAGTCGAAAATAGAGCAGTTAGTGAGGTTTTTAGCATTCTTCCCACCCAACACAGACTTTTCACTAATAAATAAAATAAGACAGATTTTATAGCAATGGGGCATATCACATCTGCAACCCGAATGGAAAGAAGGAACGCCTCTCCTTGCTGAATATAAGAGGAGAGATTTTCCATCTGCTCATGTATAAGCATTAGCTATTACTTTTTCAACAAATCCTTTTAATGCAAACCATTTCTTATCATATACAGATGTTAGAGGGACCCCCCAAATACTGTAGTACTAGATTAAACACTTTAACATCAACATATTTGCTGTGAACAAAAGTACCATTGTGTAGGAACCCAACAAGACAGAGCTGAAAAGAAGGTGGATCCAATTATCTCTTGAACTCTCAAGAGTTCTTCTCAAATGGCATCAAAGCCCAGAAAACTAATCTGAAATAGCCATTCCTACATTTGCTCCCGGAAAAGAATAGTGTATGTTCAGAGGACATGTCTTTTCAAGACAATGTCAAAAAAAATTGTATTGAGTTGGCCAATATTGAATAATTGCCTTGCAACTTCTTCTTAGAAAGCATTTTAAACGATTTATATAATATACTAATACAGGGGTCCCCAACCAGTGGGCCACGGCCCATTACGGGACAATGGCCTGTTGGCCACTGGGCCACGTGAGTGGCTGGCCAGTGTGCATGCTCGCCACGCTTGCTGCCCCAGTTCACATATGTACATGTGTCAGTAGTGGGTTTCAATTTTGTTCGCTACCGGTTTGCTCGTGGGTGCACGTGCATGACGCTTCTGGCGCATGCACAGAGACGTCCAGGTGGGTGGGTAGAGCCTCCAACCACCGCTGCTACCAGTTCGCCTGATCCAGGGCGAACCGGTAGCAACCCACCACTGACATGCGTGCATAAAGGTACCTGCCCATTCCCCAAGGGTCGCCAACCCAGAAAGGTTGGGGAACTCTGTAGTAGTACAGTAGATCATATACTATTTACATAATATACTACTAAAATTAGAAAACATAATATACTACTATTTCATAGAACCTCCAAGAAGCCTTAACAATTATTCAGGAAAAAGCAGTGCAAAATGAAATTTAGAATGTTGTAAAACTGTGGAGAGGGTTCTCCAGGAAGAAGAAACCAAAAACAATGGTTAGCAGATTCAAGGACAAATGACACAAAGCCAATAGAAAGTGCAGTATGACAGCTATGCAAAGGCCCAATTTCCATTTTGGAGACCTGAGAGGTTGATTTCATTTAAAATTCTCAACACCATCCTTTGATGCACCATGAGCTTTTCTTCCTAATTCTTCTTGAACCAATTTACCCACTAGAACAATTCTTAATGGGCTGGGAACAGAACTACAAGAAGCAGAAATACGATTGAAAAACAACTGGAAACAGGCCGATCCATTATATTGCTAAAATTAAAATTAAATTAATCCTTTGTAAGTCCCAGGAGGTATATGTATGTCTTCTTGGTTGATAGAACCAACCGTATATCTAGCATCTTCAGAGCACTCATGGAAGCTGGAGACTGTGACAATGGTTCAGATTAAGCACTGGTCCCATGTCCACAGCACATGGGACCTAGCATTCATCTGATAGATGCAGATATATTAATCTTCACAGAGAAGTGCATTTCATAAGAATAACTCTACTGCAAGAGACCAAGAATAGTTCTCACAAAAGTTCACAAGATGCTTCTGGATGCTCTTAGGGCAGTGATGGCGAACCATCACTAAAGGGAGCACGCACTTACTTGTCAGACCTGCAACCCGGAAGAGGAGCTGCCCAGGGTGCATGCGTTCACCCAAAAATGCATTTCCGGTTTCTGGCACACGCATGCACTCCGGCCAACTATTCTTCCAGTTACTGGCACACATGACGATCAGCTGGCTGGCATGCATGCTCATGCAGGAAAATGGAAGACTAGCTCTTCCAGTTTCCAGCACTGCCGCACGCACAAAGGCCAGCTGTTCGTCATGCACACATGCACGCCAGAGACATGGAACAGGAACAGGAAACGCTGTGTCTGCCACGCGTGCCCTAGGTTTGCCATCATGATCTTAGGGTATGGAGACAAACTTCTCTTCTCCGTATGATTCTCCTACAGAGGTGGGTTATATTTTCTGATTTTTGGGGAGGAAAAACATTCCATAAAACTCCTTAATTTTCCATTTCTCTTCCAGAACACGCTCAACCTGCTGTTTGGGGTTGATCGAGCAGTTTTGCTAAGTTATTCTTTCAAAGTAGAAGCTGTAATCCCAGCCAGAACATTATAAACCATTGAACCATCCTCCAGATCAGGCTGATTAGCAGAATCCAGCGGAGAGACAGAACAGAGTTCTTGGAAGAGCTCATTCCCAGAATGGTATGTTTTGCATATATTTATTCTCTCCCAACTGCCAAGAAAGAATGTAATAATGAGTTCAAACATAAAACGATGGCTAGAGATTAAATAGGATCAGAATAGGCTGCAATTATGGTAGGTTGCAATTATGAGGCAGAAATACCATCTTTACACAGAAAAGAGGTAGGGAATATGTGGTCCTCTAGAACTTGTTGAATTACAACTACCAATATTCTTCAACAATGGTCATGTTCTCGAAGGATGTCAGGAGATCCATGGCTTCACAGCCCTGAGATAACTTAACTTGCTTTATTCTGCACTTATTATGTCTTAGTTGAAATATCCTATCCAATACTGACTTAGTGACAAAACAACATACCAAAAATATATTGATAAATGGGTCCAGAAGAGATAGGTTGTGAAAAAGAATCTTACTAATTGTAGGTGATTAGAAGAACAAAATTAGTCTGCCTGTTAATTCAATGGCACAGTCGGTCAGAAAAGAAACAACTTAAATATGTTCTAGAAATACCGAAGTTGTTTAATGGAAAGTTATTTTAATTCTAACTATGGCCACTGCAACATTACCAGAAGGAGTTTTGCTCCACAAAAATCAGCCAGGGAGTAATAGGCTGAAGGACTGTTGACGGCTACCCACATAGGAAAAATTTAAGCATTGAATTAATGTGTATGTTGTAACCACAGTCCTATTATCTGAGGAACAGGTCTGTCTGACGTAAATGTTCTCAGATTGTAGGGTTTGGTGTATAAAATATATGCTGGTTTTGTGTGCATTGCCATTGCTGCTTTCTGAAGACATTGCATATCCTTCCCTTGGTGACATTATTTCCTCTGTATCCATATTTAGCCATCTTTGTAGAGCACCGTTTCATGAAATGCTTTTTCTGTGTGTATTGTGTGTCATGATGAAATTCCAAACTTATCTGGCTGCACTTGCAGTTCTGTATGTATCATTTAAGATGTTAAAAAAACACGATACTTTAGTTATATGAGTGAATTAGAAATATATGCATACAGGTACTCCTCAATTTACAACAGGTCACTTAGTGACCATTCAAAGTTACAACGGCACAGAAAAAAATGACATGACAGGGGTAGGCAACTGTGGCCCTTTTACAACCTGTGGACTTCAATTCCCAGAATTCCTGAGACAGCTTGGCTGTCTCAGGAATTCTGGGAGTTGAAGTCCACAGGTTGTAAAAGGGCCACAGTTGCCCACCCCTGACTTATGACCATTTTTCACACTTATGACCATTGCAGCAATCGCCATAGTCATGTGATTTACATTCAGATGGCTGACAACTAATTCACATTGCAGGGTCCTGACCAACTTATTAATTTAACAACCGCAATAATTCACTTAACAAGTGTGAGGAGAAAAGTTGTAAAGTCGTGGGGGAAAACTCATGTAATAAATTTCACACTTTGCAGCATACATTTTGGGCTCAATTCTGGTTATAAGTTGAGGACTACCTGCACTTAAATAATATCTGCATTAGATAAGTATATTTAGAACTGTAATTGTTTACTGTTATGTCATCTTAAAGTACTTTCTACGAACTTTTTTCTTTGACAATGTATGCATTTCCGTCATAATTATGGTTGTGTTTTGTTCCTTTTTTGTTATTATGTTTAAAACAATAACAAATAAATTTAAAGCTGCATGTATCATTTAATGGTTCTATAGTTCTCAGTGTTTATTTATTTATTTTACTTGTGAAGTTTTTTAGCTACCTATCTTTCCATGGGGTAACAGTGTTGTATGGGCACTGAAAGAGTTTTGTTCATCTATATCGTTCCTAGCGGGAATATCATCATTCAAGGGCAGTCGTACATATTAAGATTATAACAATATCTTCATCTCTGATACAAACACCAGAGACCATTTGTTCTCTGTCAATTTTACCATGATGTATTGGGCTATAAATTCTGAATTCTTGGAATACTAGTGGGAAGATGATGGAAAGTTTACTTCAACATATCTGGCAGAAACTGGCAGATATGTTTTTCAAGAGTGAACCTCAGAAGGTGTTCTCGGCTAGGTGGCCCTATCACAATTAGGTGTGGTGGAATCTGTGGGTAAAGTGTGGGGTAAAGTGGCGGTTTAGCTTATGTCGCTTTGTGAGAGAAAGCAATGGAGGCCAGACTCCCAAAAGCTTTTATTTGCCTGTTCCCAAGAGAATGCATTAAGTCTGGCAAGGTTCTTGTAAATAGAACAGAGGTGTCAAACACAAGGCCCGTGGGCCAGATCTGGCCCGCAATGCGGTCGGATCCGGCCCACAGGGCCTTCCTGGAAAATGTAAGGGGCCCACGTCACTTCGGCCTGGTCTACCCAATGCAAAGAGGAAACATGTCAACAGTTTGGGGAATGGCATCAAGATGGCCCCGCCCATCCAGTGGGCCCCACCCATCCAGTGGGCCCCGCCCACCCAGTCAGCCATGCCCAGTGAGTGCCATTATGCTAGCCACACCCACCCAGTCGGCCACACCCACCCAGTCGGCCACAGCCAGCCGGCCCCCCCGAGGTCCAACCACAGCCCTGATGCGGCCCTCAATGAAATTGAGTTTGACACCCCTGAAATAGAAGAAAACAATCAAGAAACTACTTTGGCCTATTCCCAGAATTGAACTGGCTTCTTATGCCTGGCATTAAGTCGGTGCTCTTCCTAGAAGCAGAGACTGTGATATAAAATGGTGTAGTTTAAAGGGCCCACCTTGCCCATCAAGTCCTACATAATCATGCACCAAAATGAAAATTAAACCTTTCCCAACAGTTGGCTAGCTATCCTCTGCTTGAACATATCCGTGAAGATGTACATTAACAATCCATGAGCACAAAGAGAAAGACCTTGAAGGATAAAGTTGTATACGCAGCAGCAGCAGCTTGATGTCTAAGCTAGCTTTCTGACAGAAAAAAGATGGAAGATGTACCAGTGGAGACATCATTGTGGACAGACCTCAAAGGGAAAATCTTCTCTTTGAGTACAGGGTCCCCACATGGAGTACCTCAGAATTGCAACTGGAGGTACGAACTAGCAGCAGCAAAGGAAAGACGAAGCACCATTAGGCAAAATAAAGAAGTAAAGAGAACTTTTCTAAGCAACACGAGGTAAGAGTAGCTAGTGAAGCAAGGAGATGAGGCTATAATTAGGTCAAACAGATTAATACATTAAATACTGTATTAAAACCTTACCTAGGTTCACATATCCCTGCCAGACCTTGTGTGGTTTACAATCTATGATTTGGCTTTAGTGCAATATGTGATTCCAACCATTGTACCAGATTCAATAAATCATGGCTTAACAATTCCTGGCTTAGAACACTGATTCAGCCCTCCCAAATAAAACATCTTCCTTCAGATGCCTAATGTAACAAGAATGCAGTGCAGTGTGTTCTTTTTTTTAATGCTTCTTTCATACTCAGAAGATGTTTGCTTTCAAAGTTAGATACGTCTAATTTATTTCTTAACAACTTTCCCCCTCCTTTAACCATCCTTCTGCTCTTAGTTATTGGGTGTACATTAGAAAGTAAAATGTTATAAATGTAATAGATTAGCAGGTCTTTGAAGGAGGAGGGGGAAAAGCAGTCTGGAAGAGCCAACTGGATTCCAGACTGGTACAGCTGGTTTAAGGTATTTCAGAAGTAAATGAAATCAAACGAAAATTTATAATCCTTCCTGAGCTCTGGATTCCATCAAACTAAACTCATTAGGCGTTAAGATGCAGGTGCAGCTACATAAAGGATTGCTCTGTTTTCCTTAATACCATAAGATCCACATCTTGAGTTCAGAATAAAAGTCCTTCAAAAGCACAAGCAGAGTGTACGGGTACATCCATCAACCAGCAACACTTAAAAGCAGGAGATTAGGTGACAGACTCTTCTAATGGGTTAATGCTATCGGTGGAATGTGCTCTTTTCTAAACTGATGTTGGCTTGTGGAAAAGCAAGGCTCCTTTCAGTACAAAAAGATTTCCCCCTGTCAAAGTCTAAACCTCCAGACACCTGCTCTAAATTCATTTATGCAGTTCTGTTTCTTAGGTCGTCTTTTTCAACGTGATGCTCTCTGGCTAATATAACCACTGAGCATGCCAGCTAGGATGAAAGAAGCTGCAGTCCACCTGAAAAAGGGTAAACCAGTCTAGGGAAAACAACATCAGAAGCTGCGCTGGATTTTTAAAATCCAATTGGGATTTTTAAATAGCTGTAAATGTTTTTGTAGAGCCTGTGCCACAAAGTCTTAGATCAGGATTAAATTACATGGGATGTGGGGAGCTCCATGGCTCAAAAGAAACCATGCTGGGAGATTAAACTCTAGAATGAATTATGAATTTAATTGGGGAGAATATGTGATTAACTTTTTCTTTTAAAATGAGTTTAAGATTAACTCTTTTTAGAAATGAAAGTTACCTGCTTCCCAAGAACAGGAGAAAGAAACTTAAACTTAAAATTGGGGGGGGGGAGGCATAGCACAAATACTTATGTATATGCGCACACACAAAAACAGCCATTTGAACTCCTTCTGTTACTGTAATTTGGTATACACACCCTAGCACAAATAGTCAACAGACTAATCACAGGTCTCTCATCACTTGTAATTTGATTCATCCCAATCCAAAGTTATTTGGGAGACGTGCAATCAGGACTCAAGACTCTAATTAAAATGGCAAAAGAACACAAAGAAGTGAAGTGGATGTAATACTAAACAACAGCTCCTTACCATAATAAACCTGAAAAAAGGGGTACTCTACTGACTTTATGAAAATCATAATGTACAAAAAAAATGAAAGTTCTGGACTTCAGAGACATTTTCCTTCTCTATTCTGTATGTTGGTTAGAAAGATGGCTATACTTCTCAATGGTTCCCACTGTTTGCGTTCATTTGTTTATTATTTAGAAATGGTAGAACACTATTTTCTCCCCCCCCCCTCTCTTATAGCCAAAATCTTACAGCCAAAAACTAAAAAAAAAAAAAAATAGGGATTAAGAATCTTCAGAAGGTGAGGAATTTCATACAAAAAAAAGTTACCACCAAAATAGCATTAAATCTTGTCCCTGGGATAAACCCTTGAAGTATAAAAGCCAATATGCTTTTTTAATCTATCTATCCTCAACGTACAGGATAATAACACTGTCAGAATGCTTAATTAAACTGCTGTCATTAGCCACAGTTTATATTCTAGTTAGTTCTGGAGTAAAATTAAATGACAGTGCAAGCCAAAATGGGAATAAAAGGGAACGATTAAGGCCAAAGTGAGGAAGATGGTTATCTTCTTGGAAGATGAAATACATGGAATAAGATCACATAATATGTACAAATAAAGTAGTTCTTTGTTTACAGCTATTCATTTAGGAAGAGTTCAAAATTATGATATTGAAAAAAAGTAACTTATGACCAACCCTCACTCTTATGACCATTGCAGTACCCACCCACCCACCCAGATCAAGATTCGGATGCTTGGCAATTGGCATGTATTTAGGACAGCTAGACTCTGATAACCAAAGTCAATGGGGGAAACTGGACTTGCTTAACAACTATATGATTCACTTAGCAACTGCAGCATTTCGTTTAACAACCATGGCAAAAAAGGCTGTAAACATGGCTTACTTAACAACTGCTTTGCTTAGCAACAGAAATTCTGGTCCCAAATGTAGTTGTAAGTTGAAGACTACCTGTAACTCAGGGGTGAAATCCATCAGGTTCTGACAGGTTCTGGAGAACCTGTAGTGGAAATTTTGTGTAGTTTGGAGAATCGGCAAATACTACCTCTGGCTGGCTCCAGAGTGGGGTGGGAATGGAGATTTTGCAATATCCTTCTCCCAGGAATGGGGAGGGAATGGAGATTTTGCAGTATCCTTCCCCTGCCATGCCCACCAAGCCACACCATGCCCACCAAGCCACGCCCACAGAACTGGTAGTAAAAAAATTTAGATTTCACTACTGCTGTAACTTCCAATCTGGTGCAAACCATGGATAAGCCATCTGATATGCAAAATATCTTTGGATCATTGTTGTTTTTACAGTTATGACCTCATATAAATCAAAATCACAATAGATGGGAAGGGGAAAACTGAATTCCTTTATAACTCCCCCCCCTCCCCATATCATTCCCCAAAGATATCAAAAAAGGGACAAAAGCAGAAATAAAAGACAGAACACATTTCCCTAGCTTGGGTCCCTTCTAGATATATAGACTTCAGTTCTCAGAAATCTCAGCAAAAGCCTGGTGAAGTTCACATACCTGGAGAGCATCCAAAGTGCCATAGATTAATTGCCCCACCTCCATGCACCTATACATATTCTATTTAGATTATTAATCCAACAAGTTGAGATTCAGTTAAGGAAACCAACCAAGTTTTCAACCCATAGTTTGCATGTGGATGTCACACTACATTGGGTCACTAGTCATTGGCAATACTGGCTAAATTGTGTGTATATCAGGACACCATTTGCAAACCAAAGTTTACAGAACACAAGTGCATTTTGACTGATATATGCCAATTCCATAGCTGGCCTCGTTTGCATGAATATGCTGTAAGATGCATGAGGCCATTGTGGCGTCTACTCAACGCCTATGGAACAAGTACAAACTGAGTTCTCATTAAAGTGTAAAACACAACAAATTCATCCCAAGCTATTACGCACACTTGGTAAACAAGCAGGAATTGAAGGACGGATATTTTCAAGACTTGGGACTATCTTGATCTATCTGAGCCGGGAATATGGATTCCCCGAGGCTCCATTCAGCATCATGTTCTTGTAAAACATCATGATCCAGCAATGTAGGGTGTTCACTTTACTGGAAGATGAATGCAGGTCTTAATACCAATTGCCAGAATAATTAATACTGAATACCAATTGCCAGAATAATTATTAAAAAGGTTACTAAATAAATGGAAATCATACAGATCATTTCTTAAAAATAACAAATCAAGTGAATACATATTTATAGTTTTGCCCTTTGCCAAATGCAGATTAGCAAAACTCACAGGTTCTAACATCTTTTGTTGAGGCATGTTCAAAAGATCCTGATGAAGTCAGTAGCAGTTTATTGCCTCCTCTGCTTGGCACAGTTCCACACAGGGATCATAGCGGACAGAATTATCCTGCTGGCTTGCACCCTGTCTAAAAATATAAAACCTGCTCCTTTACTGAATAGACCAGACTTAGTAGCTGAGTTCACACAACATTATGGCTTAGCAGGACGTGCACACCCAGCCATTGTAGTTTATAACAACAATGGGTTTATGGCATAGTTCAGGGGTGGCCAATTGATAAGTCATCTTGCAGCCCTGAGAATATGCCTAGATTCTCTGTCAAAATATCCCAGCAAAACTACCTCTGGCCATGTTAGGTAAGGGTAAAGGTTCCCCTCGCACATATGTGCTAGTTGTTCCCGATTCCAGGGGGCGGTGTTCATCTCCATTTCAAAGCTGAAGAGCCAGCGCTGTCCAAAGATCTCTCCATGGTCATGTGGCCGGCATGACTAAACAGGCGCATGGAATGCTGTTACCTTCCCACCAAGGTGGTCCCTATTTTTCTACTTGCATTTTTTACATGCTTTCGAACTGTTGGCAGAAACTGGGACAAGTAACTCACCCCATTATGTGGCACTAGGGATTCAAACCGCTGAACTGCCAACCTTTCGATCGACAAGCTCAGCGTCTTAGCCACTGAGTATGCTGAAATCAAACATACGGTACCTTTCTAAGCAGCAAATCAGATAAATATCTAGGTATACTCAGATAAGGGTGTGTTTCACTTGGGCATTTGGGGGGGTACCCTTCAGTTTGAAAGGGCTTTCATGTATGATTTGGAGTAGTTGTATACACAAAACAAATTGACTATATTGCCTCTGTGTGCATG